GGGGTGTGGGAACTCCAAATTCCTCTCCCCGCATATTGCTGTTAACTGGCTGGCCCTATTACTTATTAATCAAATATAAGGAGTTAAATAAATCAAATATAAGAGAAATAAATCAAATATAAGGAGTTAAATAAAGAAATTGAGTGGGAACTCCAAATTCCTCTCCCCACATATAGCTGTTAACTGGTTGGCCCTATTACTTATTAATCAAACATAAAGCTAATTAAACTAAAGGGAACTCCAAATTCCTCTCAAATTTTAACCATTTTTCATTGGTTTTTAACCTTCTTTCTGTTCATGATTTTATCTTGCATTTTTCATAAAAAAAAAATTGTTATTCCATTTAAATCATAGCCAATGTACACACACACACACTTCTTAGTATATGAATTTATATATATATATATATATATATATATATATGATCATTCAAAGACAACCAGCCAAAAAAAAATAAAAAACTAAATAAATAAATAAAACAAAGTTTGGACTCCATGATAACCCAGGCAGTTCCTTCTCTAATATGCACTCCAAGAAAAATGCTTACAGCCGCAGCAGAATCAGGAAACTAAAACATAGTTTAATAATGCAGTAAGTTAAAATAAATGACACAATCAGAATCAATTGGACCAAGATCTCGCTGATTAGCAACATTTCTGGATTTGGGGAACATTTCCAGAGAAGAAGCATAAGAGACCAGCTGATCAGCCATTGCCCAATTCCTCATTTGCTTAAACTTCATTATCTCCAAAAAAAAAAAAAAAAATTTAATTTGAAAGTGAGTTCTGAATGAATATTTAGGAATTTCTCAAACCTTCACAACTGACTATATTAATCTCTGGCAGAAGGTTTCTAAGATCAATGAGATTGCTTGATCAAGGCCGGCGTATAGTCAAGTCTTTTGTTTCTTCCACCTTTGGGTTTGTTGCACACTAAAGCATACATCTTCACAGCAAAAAGTTCTGCAGGAAATCCTTTTTGATCCTGCAATGCTTGAATTTAGATTTTAAGTTTCAAGGGAGTTCAGTGTTTTTTTAATCTATAAGAGCCTATAAGCAAACCTTTGAGCTGTAAATATAAAGACCGCACTGTTTGAAAAGATCTCTAAAATACAAATCAGATCTTGTGATGCTACTATCTTCTTTATCCAAGACAAATCCTGCAAGTGACATGTGATCAGGAAAATGTATCATTGCATGATAAGAAGATGAGAGCTTATGTGATGGGTGATTGGTTTGTAAGGTGTTCAATGATTGGAAAATAGGAACAAATATGGTCAACAGGTACCGACAAAGGATTAGAAAAAAATTCAAAAAATTATGTTGAGCAAGTATCAATAGACCTCTTCATTTTGGAGCAAGAAATACGAATTATATAAATAAGCTAGGGGAAAAAATGAGAAAGACACTGCTTCCTTGAATCCCCTCTAAGGAGGCTAAGCATGATCTCTTTAAGATTCTAATTCAAGAGACTCGCACTAAGAGGCTATGGGACAAACTTTTAAGATGCAACTTAATAAAAGATATCGACGGGACAGTTAGTTGCAAAAAGGGTAAATATTAATGATCCTATGGTGTGAAATTTGGTTTCATATATAATACATATAATTATTTCATTTGGCAAAGTTGAGACCACGAGGCAAACAAAATATAAAAATTATGTACAAATGGTGTCATATCGTCATTAATATTGCATAATTAATGGTATTCTCAAGATTTGGGGTGTTCATGAAGAAATAAATTCTATGTGCGATAAAGTAACAAACATTATTAAATAAGTGGCAAAAGATGTACTTGAAGAATCAAAAAGAAAATTTTCTATAAATAAAAATAGTTAGAGTGGTGGAATAGTTAGTGGTGGAATAATAATTTGCAAGTAAAGATAAAATATAAAAAGTTATGTTTTAAAAATTGGTTTAAATATAAAAGCTTAGAGAATCGGGAAAAATATAAGGTGGTCCGTAGGGAATCTAAGTGAAAAATTTGTGAAGCTAAAGTTCTACTTTTAGAGATCTTTATAATAAATTAGATAATAAATTATAATAAATTAGCCAAACAAAGAGAAAATAAAAGTAAAAAATTTAACTCAGTAAAGTGTATTAAATATGAAAATCAAAAAGTGATTTTCTTAGAAAAATATATTCAATATAGGTGGATCAACTACTTTGATAAACATTTCAATGAAATTGTTGAAATACAATCGACCTTCATGACCTTAATACTTTTAATAATAATAAAATATTTTATTTTTACTGCCACATTAGTAAAAAAAAAGTTGATGAGCCTTTAAAGAAAACTAAGGGCGGAAAATCAGTAGGGCCTGATAATATACCAATTAAAGTGTAGAAATATTTAGGAGATTTAGGAGTTGCTTGGCCTACTAAACTCTTTAATATTATTTTAAAAACTAAAAGGATGTCTGAGGAGTAGAGGAAGAGTATTTCGGTCCTCATTTTTAAGAATAAAGGAGATGGCACAAGTGTGTGCAAATTATAGAGGAATTAAGTTGATGTTTCGTACTTTAAAATTATGAGATAAGGTAATTGAACATAGATTAAAACTTGATACAAAGATTTCTCATAATCAATTTAGATTTATGTCGGGCAAGTCTACTATGGAAGCTACACAATTATTGAGAGGTGATGGAGAAGTACAGAAATGAATAAGGAGGATCTACATATGAATTTTATTGATTTAGAAAAAACTTACAATAAGGTTCCAAAAGAAGTCCTTTAAGAAATCCTTTGGAGAGTTCCAGAAAAGAAAAGTGTTGATATGACTTATATTCAAGTGATTAGAGATATGTATACTAGAGTTGTGCTCGAACACAAGGAGGATTGACAGAGTATTTTCCTATTTCAGTTGGATTACATCAAGTATATGCTTTAAGCCTATATCTTTTTGCTTTAGTTGTGGATGCTCTTACTGGACATCTACAGGAGGATGAACCTTGGTGTTGCTTTTGCTTTCAGCTGATGATATTTTTCTTATGGATAAGACTAAAGAAAGAGTTCAGGAAAAAACTTGAGTTATGGATGTTTACATTGAAGTTTAAAGGCCTTCGTTTGAGTAGAACTAAAACTGAGTACATGGAATGTAACTTTAGTAGCATTAGCTCCAGTGGCAGAGTTGTAACTATGGGTAACCAAATCATTAAAAGGAGTGAACATTTTAAAAATTTCGGGTCTATTGTTTAAAGTGACGGTGATATAGATGAGGATGTTATTAGTAGAATTCAAGTTAGTTGCTTGGAGTGGAGGAATGCATCAGGCCTATTGTGTGATAGAAAAGTATCGCTTAAGCTGAAAGAAAAATTTTATAAGATGGTGGTGGTACCTGCAATGCTCTATGGCACAGAATGTTGGCCTTCAAAAGAGAAGCATATAACAAAGTTAAGTGTTGTTGAGATAAGAATGCTTAGGTGGATGAGTGACTTGACACTTAAAGACAAAATGTGAAATGAATATATCTGTGATAGTGTTGTAGCTCTAGTGGCGGATAAGATTAGAGAGAGTCGTCTTAGATGGTTTAGTCACATTAAACGTCAACCATCTGATGATCCGCTTAAGAGACAAGATGTTTTAAATTCGACTGATGTTATTAAAGGCAAAGGAAGACCTAAAAAGATTTGGGCATATTATATAAAAAATGATATTGATCTATTAGAATTAAATGAATGAAAATATGACACTCAATCGGACGTAATGGAGAGAAAAGATACATGTTACCGACCCCACTTAGTGGGATAATGACTCTCGACTGGTTTGCAAAGGCTTTAATATCAATACTAGAACTAGAGTTGTCAAAAAAACTTGTCATTATCAAACAGCTCATGTTCAGCTGATAACTCAAGTTTGATCAGTTCTGCAAGCGAGCTAAACACGAATAATTTTTTAGCTTGATTTATAAACGAATCGAATAGGACAAAAAATTTGTATCTTCGTGTTCAACTCATTTTGACATGAAATAATTAAATAATAATATTTATTTACATCCTTTTATATTAATTTTTATATGTATTTAAAAAATATTAAATTTTATTATTTTTTAAAATTGATTAGTATAATTATAAAATATATAAGTTCAAGTATCAGATACGTAAATATGTAAATGTTCGTAAAACAACTACCAAGTTGCGGATAGGAAGACTTATTCAACTGTTAGATATGTAAATACATTTATATTGGGTGGATGTATATAAATATCCCCTACATTTTGCCCGCCTATCTACTGTGCCTGTCCCACCTACATTTTAGTCCCACATCGGTTATAGAAAATTAGTCGAAGTCAGCATATGTACAAATTTGTGAAAGACGAACTTGTTGTACACTTAGGTTGATAAAAATGAATATGATTTTTTTAATTACTCAAGCTTAAACTCAAGTTGAATCAATAAAATTTAAACGAGCCAAATATGAGCTAATTCGAATAAACGAGAGCTTAAATTGAGTTGAACACGAATATGCTATTCACGAGCTATTTTTAACATGAGTTGAACATGAATAGGCCCTGGGCTCGCTCAAGCTCAGCTTGTTTAAACCTCTAACTAGAACTAAGGCATCTTTCTCTTGGCACTTGACTCGTGGTCCTTAGGTGTCATCCCAAGACCCTTTTAAGCTTCCCCTCAGCCTCAATATTTCCTGTTAGCAATGCTCCTAACTTGATTCTTTCAGTAACATCAAGGATTATATAGAGTTCTTTCTAAGTTCAAATACTCTTAGGTTGTCCCACGTCATTTGAGTCTATAGATCTCATGATCGTACAGCTTGAGTATACAATTTTTACATTGAAGGACACTGCTCATATTTATTGATTATATATGGCCGCTACTAGCTTTAACAAGCAGTTGCAATTCTAAGCTCTAGAAATTGTTCTTCTCTCAACTGGTCCTCTTGACCTAGCAATAAATCATTGAATGGAGTTAAGACTACATCTATTTCAATATCCAACATTGAATGTTCAAATAACGTAACTTTTCACATTATCCACAAGTAAATCTTGTGGTGATACTCTGGTCTAGAGGTTTTTTTAGCTAATCCTCTTGACATCATAATAGATCTTTAAAAGGAGTTAACACTACTACTTAAATATCCAGCATTAAATGTTCAAGTAGCTTCATATTTTTCACATTCGTTACCAAGTAGATCTATTATGAGAAGGAAAGGCTCCAGTCTAGGGCTTGATCATGCTCCACTACAATAACTACCTTCTTCCATTGCCATCTTTCTTTAAATTCGCTAGAAGAAATCCAAATAAAGTATCCCATATTTACCTCTATCATGTTTTGTGAGTTGGCGGTAAACATAATAATGTAGGTTGCTTTTTGGAGAATAAGGAAAAGCAGTTATTGCTTTGCCTTAAAAAGAAATGCTTCAGCTCCACCTCTTCTTCTCAATGGCCTTAAATTATGCTCCTTTTCTCTTGGGAAGAGGCTTACTGCCTTTTGTTTTTGTCCTTTCTCTTGATTTTCATAACAAGCATACTCACCTATAAATATCCACGACAGGGAAACTATAGCTTTGTTGGAGATGCTATATTGCATCAATGACATGAACTTTGTCAGGATAAACAAGTCTTCTAATAGCATATCAATCATCAAGACTTGTATCTTGATTTGGTGTATAATCCTACACAGTTTGTTCTAATTGCTGATGCAACCCATGCCTACTCCAAATTTCTTTACAACACTCCATAGAGTAAAATTAATGACAAAGCATCTTCCTAAAAAGTTTTCAAGTGACATTTTGAAGCCCATGCCAAAGATAATCATCCAACCAAGCAAGTGTGTGTTTGATGAGTTTCAAGTCAAACAAAGCAAATTCTTCTCAAGAAGAATACCCATAGAAACTCAAATTAGTTTCAAGTCAAACAAAGCAATTCTTCTCGAGAAGAATACCCATAGCAACTCAAATTAATTTCAAGTCAATCCACCATGACATCCGCATCCATAAAACCAACAACTATAAGGATGTCAATTTAAGCCTTAATATTTCCGGGTTGAGGTCATCCAATAAAAGAAGGTTCAAAATCCACATATAGTCATTTGCTTGCCTACCAAAACTTTTGCTAGCTTATTGCTATCAAAATAATATATTCTCTTGAAATAAATCTTCATATTCTAGTTATGCAGTGGTCAACAAGATCGAATTACTCAATATTTCCATCACCACAATTATCAATTATTGAAAGAGAGAGTGTGATTTGATTAGCCAAGTCAATGAAGGTTTTTTATGACATTGACACATAAACTTCTTGTTTTTTTCTTCAAATATCTAGGGTCGAGAAATCAAAACACTGCTAGTAAAGCTCAATAGGTCAATCCCCATCAATTAATCATTCGCGTGGCCTGCATACGGGGCCTCGTCCTTGTAATGTTATACCTTTGAAGTCATAAATTCCACCTTTAGGCTCATTTCAATCTAAAGATTTAACTTACAAGTCCAATAATTAGGCCTTCCACAAGATGTAAGCCTTACCCTTTAATTGAGCAAAAAGACTTCAACAAATCATTAGGTAAGCCCCCTTACACCTTTGGGCCTCAATTCCTACAGAAATGTAAGCACCAGCCCATCCACAATGTCATCAACATCAACATGCGACCACTATTCATCGATCTTTGGACCATTTCTCGTGAACCTTTTTAGGCTAGGCTCCTTTGAAGGCCAAATCTACACAATATGGGTTAACGACAGGATAAAGAGTGCAAACATATTTAATCTCTATGCATGTACATGCCGCAGGCTCCATTTTTTAAAAACTAAAATAACTATTGATATAAGCCACTTTCGAATCTTTGGGCAAGGATATGTTGCATGTTCCAAATTTAGAGCTTTTCCCAATCAAGGTGAATAAAAAACTCACCATTGTAGCCCGCATTATAACCCAAGTCTAAGGCACTTTTCGAAAACACATTGAATTCTGTTCTAGAGCTCTCTCAAGGCAACATGTAAATACAATGCCCTATCCTCTACCACATGGTTTAATTGCATCAAGAGCAACAAAGTAATCTTTGGGTACAATTATCTAGTCAAACATTTGACATGGTATACGAGAATGAGTGCCCTACAGCAAAACATCAACATTTTGCATGGCATCCACCGTCTTTGAGTGCCTTAGGACATCCTCCTCTCAAGATAAGGTCCAAGTTAGTTCTTGAACAGCTGAATTAGCACATCATGCCTCAGAGCCGGCAGAGCCACACTCTTTATGCACTATGGCCTTTGAGCAAATTTTGAAATGAATCACCCAAGTACAATCATTAAACTTTGGCCTTTCCATCCCTACACCTTCGAAGCACTATGAAGTATGCCGCTACCCTTAATTGAACAATTTTTCATTCATGACAAACCCTAAATCCAATCATAAAGAAGGATATGTTCTTTGGCTCTGCTTGCCTTAGAAGGCAACCCATAATTGCTAATCAAACATCAAAGAAAAAATAGAATCAGATGCTTTATCGATATCAAATTTGATCTACCAAATTGACCTTGGGATTTCGATCGGATTGACCATTTATCCCCCTCAACATTACCATGAAAATATCCCAATCTGAATGATGGAAGCTTCTTATACTCACAGAGCCGCCGAAGTATTTAATCTACAATTTTTTCTATCTATAAGTGGGAACAAAAGAAATAAATAATCAATCTCTTTGGCAAGTACAAATTCTTGCCAATACAAATTCTAATTTTAGCAAGCAATGTTGATGCTTGCAACCAAAAAAAGGAAGAACTACAAGTTTTTGGAGTATATTGTTGCTTTAAAGGAGTACGTTTATTAAAGAAGTATGTTTATTAAAGCAGCATGAATGGTAGGGTAAGGTAACATGTGCATGACCAATGGCAAAATCATGGAGCTTCTTTCGCTGCTTTACAAACAGAGATATCAAAAGCTTAAGCAAAAAATAAAGAAAAAGAGGGAGGTAAGAAAAAAGGTCATTGACAAACATAAACATTCAACCATCAGACATGCTTATTAAATCAAGATTTTATTTATATATGTAGGGCTTAGAATGCTGATTTTTCTTGCCTGAAATGATGAGAATAGCATCATTTTCATATATACAATTTTTACAACATTTAATAGTGCTATTCAAAGCAGTTTAAGGAGTTATTGCAATTGTGTGGCAAGACACCAACAGCTCAAACCAATGACCAACTATGCTATAGCAAGACACAATCATCGTCATGCTAATAACTTAACTAGCAGAGCTTTGTATGTTGTTTTCCTCATTGTTAATCAAGTGACAGCTGCCTAATGTCCGATGCATTAGGCAACTGCCTAAGCTAAGGCACTAATATTTTTACCATTTTTAATTATAAGAGGAATAAATTTGAAGAATATAACATGCCAATCACTACAATGAATTATTAAAATATAATAGAAAAAAATACATTTTATTATTACAAAATATTGCCAAATGGACTGCCCAATATAAAGTACCTGTAAGATCTAACATTAAGCTTATAGTTTAAACGAGTGAATAAAAACTTATGTTTGTAGCTTTCAAGATGTAAGATTATCTTATGGTTGTATAACCCATAGAACATAATAAAAAAAATCATCACGGACAGGAATGTCAAAGCATCCAACGTATGGGTGCCCGCAATTTGGGAAGAATTTGAAGCATTAGAGCCTAACCTCACCAAGGTGAGCAGCCAACTCGACTTTGAAAAAACTGGTTTTCCCATTAAAAAACTAAAAAGGAATGAGACACTTATGATGCACACATATAGAGAAAAAAAAGGGAAAGTAGGCAAAAGAGCAAACCTTTTCTTGCAACATTCTCTTTAACAACAAAAAAGCCTTTATGCTTTAAGCCAACCTGTAGCAATTAGCAATTAAAAGTCAACAAAAGTAAAGGACATATGTCAAGCATGGAAGCATGAAAGGGGCTCATACAAATCAGAATAAAGTTGAAGGAAGGTTATGTTGGAGGTAACTCTTTAAATCATTTTGCAGCAATTAAAAGTTGTCAAAGTAAAGAACATATATCAAGCATGAAAATTTAAAAGTATCTCATCGAAAAAATGTTATGTTTGGAGGTAGTGCTGATACATAGGAACCCATTTTTACTACAATGAGACTTCTAGGGGAGGAAGAGGTGAAGAGAGACCGTTAAAACTAGTTGATTAAGCTTACATGAAGAATGATTTGAAATTCCTAAAGTCAATTTGTGTTTTTGGTAGTCTCAATCTCAAAGGGAAAGTAGCATCCAACTCAAATATGAGTTGAGAAGTATTTGTGGTGAATTATCCAATCATGATCGATCAATAAAATAAAAAAGAAAAAAAATACTTTTAAAAAAAGTAAATACAAATCTAACTCCAATGGATCTAAGGATCAACTCTTTTACTGATCTTCACTATTTTCAAATAATCACTTTTTTTTTTCAAAACTTAAGTTTAGATGATTTCACTAGTCAAAATTGTTTTGATACAATGAAAAGTCGGATTTTAAATCATTTAGAAATTTTCTAGATGGTTCATATTATCTATTAAAAAGAGTTATTTCAATATTTTGAATATAATCTATTATGGCATGGATGCACAAAGCTCAAAATTAGGTCTTTCAAATCCTTTTATAAGGTCATAAAATATAACAAATTATTTGTTTTTCTTCTCATAATGGATTAAGGTGAACTAATGCATAATATTCTTGTCGTAATTTTGGGATCAAGTAGCATTAATTACCAATCCTATTGATTCTTAGTTGAAATTGATTTTTGTTCATAAGATCTTGAAACACTAATTCATTATCCTCTCTTTATAATGAATTTACCTAACCTAACACATGAGACCTTTTGTGTGCTTATGGGATTAATTCTAATAGTAGGAGGTCTCGGAGTAATAAATGTGAATCTCAATGATATTGTGAAACGATCCGACTTCAAAACGGCACGCTTTTTCACAAAAATTAGGGTACAACAACAACAGCAACAAAGCCTTAATTCCACTCGTGGGGTCGGCTACATGAATCTTTTTTCTCAATTGCGTCCTATTTAGTGTCATATTTTCATTTAGTTCTAGTAAATTAAGATCATTTTTTATTCAATAAGCCCAAGTCTTCTTAGGTCTACCTCTGCCTTTCTTAACACAAGTCAAATCTAAAACATCTACTCTCCTAATTGGATCATCAAATGGTCAACGTTTAATGTGACCAAACCATCTAAGACGACTTTCTCTAATTTTGTCCGTCACAGGAGCTACACCAACCTTATCACGAATATATTCATTTCGCATTTTGTCTCTAAGTGTAAAGCCACTCATCCACCTAATCATTCTCATCTCGGCAACACTTAACTTATTTTTATGCTTCTCTTTTAAAGGCCAATATTGAGCGCCATAGAGCATTGCAGGTCTTTTACCACCATCTTATAAAAATTTCCTTTCAGTTTAAGCAATACTTTTCTATCACACAAAAGGCCTAAAGCATTCCTCCACTTCAACCAACCAACTTGAATTCTACTATTAACATCCCCATCTATATCACCATCGCTTTGAACAATAGACCCAAGATATCTAAATCGTTCACACATTTTAATAATTTGATCACCCAAAGTCACACTTATGTTACTAGAGCTATTACTACTAAAATTACATTCCATGTATTCAGTTTTAGTTCTACTTAAATGAAGGCCTTTAGACTCCAATGTAGACCTCCATAATTCAAGTTTTTCCTAGGCTTTTCTCTCGTTTTATCCACGAGAAGGATATCATCAGCAAAAAGCATACACCAAGGTACATCCTCCTGTAGATGTCCAGTAAGGCCATCCATAACTAAAGCAAAAAGATAGGGGCTTAAGCCGATCCCTGATGTAATCCAACAGAAATAGGAAAATATTTGGTCAATCCTCCTTCAGTTTGAACACAAGTAACAGCTCTAGTATACATATCTTTAATAACTTGAATATAAGTCATATCAACACCTTTCTTCTCAAGAACTCTCCAAAGGATATCTCTTGGAATCTTATCGTAAGCTTTTTCTAAATCAATAAAAATCAAATATACATTCTCCTTATTATCTCTGAACTTCTCCATCAAACCTCTCAATAAATGTATAGCTTCCATAGTAGACCTGCCCGGCATAAATCCAAATTGATTATGAGAAATCTTTGTAATGCGTCTTAACCTATGTTCAATTACCCTCTCCCATAATTTTAAAGTATGACACATCAACTTAATTCCTCTATAATTTGCACACTCTTGTGCATCCCCTTTATTCTTAAAAATGAGGACCAAAATACTCTTCCTCCACTCCTCAAGCATCTTTTTAGTTTTTAAAATAATATTAAAGAGTTTATTAAGCCAAGAAACTCCCAAATCTCCTAAATATTTTCACACTTCAATTGGAATATCATCATGTCCCACAGACTTTCCAACCTTGGTTTTCTTTAAAGCCTCAACTTTTTTTTACTAATGCGATAAAAATTAGGGTAAACACAAATATTTTCTTCAATATTACAAACAACTCAAAAAGAATACAAAAGATAAGCGTCTACAATTCGAGTAGTAAGCGATCTCTCCCAGTTCTTACAATTCGAGGGTATGAAATCTCTCTAAAACCCTAAAACTAAGATTCACAATCAAATCACATGCATAAAAGCCCAATCCTAAACATAACAGGCCTATTTATAGCCAACAATGATAATAATAATAATAATAAAAGACTAAATTATCCTTAGGAATACAAAAGACAAAATTGTCCTTAAGTTAGACACCAGCATAAAAAAATTCCCCCCTCCCCAAAACACCTTATTCTCAAGGTGGAAAAAAACGAGTGCTCCTCCACCACAACTGTCTATATTTCTTCATTCACTACCTAGGACATCATGCACTATGAAAACTTGTAATTTTCAATCATTGTAATGTTATCCTGGAGTAAACTTCTCATTACACTGAAAACATAACACCTTGGTTCCCTTCTCCAGAATCTACCTCTGTAAGGCACTTGAGAGTCACTCCCAGTCGGGGCCCATCATTCATGCCCCGTACAGCCTACGTCTGGACTTCCACTCTGATTGAGCTTTTGGTATCGTTGTGGTTGTAATCATTCAATATGACGCTCCATTTGTGTTGCTCCTGCTAGCCTTCTCCATCTAGTTCTTGTCCTCCACCATCTAGGCTAGCTTCATCATCCCCCTCAATTCTCGTGGTTTCAATAGTCAAAGTGTTGCCCGTATGTCCGGCTTTAAACCCTTCATGAAAATTTTCTTCAATCCTGCTTCAAAAATCCCCCATAGTCATCCCAAAATTAGTTCAAATCTCTCCATATATTTCATAACAATCTTCTCATGAGTCAAGACATAGAATTTCTCATGTAGGTATTGCTCTTGAATGACTCGAAAGAGTTCTAACAAACAATCCTTAAATTCATTCCACAAACGTATCAGATGATTATCCTCCCTCCACGCCAAACACAATCCCACCGCCATGAGCTTCTCCTCCGCATCTAACAAATTCACCGCAAAGTATCGCTACACCCGATACACCCACCCATATGAGTCCTCCCACTCAAAGATAAGCATCTTCAACTCCTAATCCTAGCATCTCCACCCCAACTTCCTCTCCCTCGGTTGTCCCCCCAACCCCCTCCCCTCCCCCAACACACACACAAACCAATATATCAAGGGTAAGGTTCCTTCGTTTGATCATTAGTCATATCCCCTCCCTGTTTCTCTCCTTTCTTCTACGTGCTCCCTCATATCTCTTGCATAACCTCTTCTATATGTTTCGGCCCAACCGTCTCCATCAGAAATTTCTAATCCATTCTCAATCAGAGTCCGGGGGGGTTCGTGATGGTGGATGTTTTCCTCCTCATGTTCCTTACGTTCCTCACGTTCAATCTCTTTTCCATTGAGTATTGCAAATTGAGTTATCGGTGGGGTCTTGAATTACATCTCAATGAACCTCATTATCATTTCTTGAATTTCCCCCATGCTTTCAAATTGGTCTTCCATTTGGTTCTCTATGGAAGAAAACTTATCCTCTATAGTGGCGAACCTTTATTCCATCCAAGATCTAATTTGGTTGAACTCTTCCTCAAATTTCTTCTCCAAATCGTTTTCTTTCTTGGTTGTTATTCTTCTCAATTTTTTTTTAATCCTAAAGACAATTTTTATATGTTGAAATTCGTCGTCTGATTTTGGATGTGGCAAATCGAGGTACTGTTCCTCAAGTTAGTGATCCAGGATCACTCCAATCCGGTCGTGGCTTCCCAGGTGGCTCCAATCAAGATTGTACAGTAGTTGTGGTCATGTCTTTCCAACTAGCTTGGAATCGCGACTGTTGTGCGAGGGAAGATTTGGAATTGGAGAAAGATTAAAGTTACGACACGGGAATAAGAGAAAGTTGAGAGTTTCATGTCTCTATACTCAGCTTCCCAATCACTGCCTTTCGAAGTAGTTATGATCATGCCTCTATCGGGTAGACGATAAGGGGGAAAAAATGGAAGTTTCGAGTCTATGTACATCGCTTCCCAGTCGCTTTCATCTGTCTTCCCAGAAGACAAAAGACACAATTCCTTCATGGCTTTCCCTGCAGGCTGAAAGGCTAAAGTTTCTAGTCTCGATAAGTTGCGCTCTCGTTATAGCTTTCCCTGTATGTCGAGTTCACATCATGGATCGAAACTCTGGCACTCGATGCCCGATCATTTTTCTTTGATTCCCATAACTAATTGTTCTAATACCAATTTGATACGATCTGATGTCAAAATCAATACGCTTTTCAACAAGAATTAGACCAAATATAAATATATTCTTCAGTAATTCAAACAGCTCAATAAGAATAAAAAATATAAGCTTCTACAATTCGAGAGGTAGGCGAG